TAACATCAGAAGATGGAAAAAAAATCCCATTATAATCTACTGGAAACTGAGAAAGAAAGCAACAGAGGAGGAGAGGAAAACAAGGCTAGTGAATATGATTGCCTTATGTGCATCGACACATCCATGTGTTGAACTTGTTCACGGTAATAACAGGATCCACTGGGGTGCTTTGTTTATGATGTTCATTTGGCTGCATACTGAGGTGGAGCAGAAAAGTGCCTCAACAGTATTAAAAAGTGCAGCCTTGTCTGAATTTTGTATTTGTGGGTGGCTATGTAGAGGAAGAATCTTTATTGTTATAACGCAACATCTTCATCGAGATATTCTCTTTGTTCAGTAAAATTGTTCATATCTCATGATTTATTTCTCCTACTTTTGAAGCAGGTTCATGCTTATGATGTCTCAGTTTTCCAGTGAAATGCGACTGCCAGGAGTTTAATTTGTAATGGATTCAACTGGACTTGTACAACATTGACACTGTGGCAAGAGTGCATGTGTAACCAGGCGCTCTGAGCTTTAGAAATCTACTGTTATCTGGAATGGCAGTTCTACACAGATTATTCCAGATCTTTCCAAATACCATTCAATATTACTGTGGTTGATGCATGTGAGCTACATTAACATACTGTACATCACTTCTTCTTCCCCTGGTTGGAAGCAGAAACTTAAATCACTTCTTCTCTTTGTACATGTCCTTCTAAAACATTTTACACGTACATGCAGAACCTTAGCAATCTTTTAAGGTATGGGACAAAATGTCCTTTGAACCACAAGTAAAATACATCATTTTTTCACAGCATTTTGATGTGTCACAGCAGCAGAAGCACAGATGTAGCTACTGTACCAACACCTGTATTCCACTGCACTAGTACTGCACATGCCTACTTACTGGGGCATGAAGCAAAGGTACACCTGTCCTTTTCCTCCCATGCCAAGTAAAAATGTCTGCATTGTCAACAAAAAAATGACGGCTGCTGCATTGTATTAACTGTAAAATTATACCTTTTTATGTTTTGAGAATGAGATCATTTGCAATCATTTAAAAAAAACAGTCATGTATTCATGGTAGTGTACGCATTATGGATATAGTGTTTTACTATTAAGCACTTTGTGTACGACACAGATGTTATATTAAGTGCGGCAGAATATTTGGCAAAGATTTATTTTTCATTTTAAGTCCCTAAGTCTTTAAACAGTCAGTGAGGCTCAGACTGCTTCAGCTTGGAGAGACATTATAATAACAATTAAATACAGTAATACTGCCAGTGTTCCCTGTAGTCTCAGTGGTGTAAAAACGCCACCTGGCATCTTTAACCAGGTCATTTGCTTCTGTAACTGCAAATGACTTGAATTTTATTTTCTCTGATTCTTCTCATCTGTTTGGGTTTATTTGTATCTGGAGCTACATCTGCATGAAACCGTTCTTTAAGCTTGCAAGAAAAAGGCTAATGAGTTTCACACTCATAATCTCATGTGTTGCGTTGTATCCTCTGAGGACTATGATGTCAGTGGTTAGTAAAATATCCAGTTGTTTCCCTTTGATCTGTGAACAAAGCACAAACGCATAAGAGGACACTTGTTTTGCTGTTAGCTACCCTACCGCTTTGAAGGATGTTATATCCCTTGATGTCACCTGGGTAATCTAAATTTTATATGTTGCTCTGGTACATCTGGAGAATTCTCTGCAGAGGGCCGTCTCTTTGAAACCCCAGCTCTTCTAATTGCTATTCTTGTTTGTTACGTGGTACAATTACTCTCAAACCTCTCTTGACTCATCTTGCCCCCTTGTATTCCCCCTTCTTTGTACACTCCTTCCTCATTTCGCTCACCTTTTGACCTTACCATCTTGCTTACCATCTTACCAGGTGGCCCAGCTCCCTCTGTCAGTGAGTGACGGGCGCTGGCACCATATATGCATCACCTGGACAACGAGAGATGGTTTCTGGGAAGCGTACCAGGATGGCGAGCGTCAAGGCACTGGGGACAACCTGGCCCCCTGGCATCCAATTAAACCAGGAGGGGCGATCATCCTGGGCCAGGAGCAGGTGAGATCAGTAGAGAAGCTTAACTGGTAGGCAACAGGTGTGTGTCTGTGCATGCATGTGTGTGTGTTTTCCTTGTGTCTGTAAGACCCCAGTGTACATTCCCCCTGAGCTGAGTGCCGGAGGCACAGAGCAGGGAGTGGGGGAGAGGAGAGAAGCTCTTCTCACGCTATCATGGCCCTTTCAGTATTACCTCATTTGTCTACCCCTGCCATTATGCCCTTCGGAGCTGTGTTAGTGAGTCATTCTAGCAGTTAGCTCTAGTAGAGCGAATACACAGTGTAGTTAAGACATGTAGAGCAACTTATGAATAATCTCCACAGAGAGCCACTAACTCACACTGCATTAGATTGGAATCTAAGGAGGGCTCTGTTGTTTTATGTTTCACTCATACACACAAGGTGAGATTTCTGGAGATTGCACAACTCTTAGATATGTTAAAGTGATAGTACACTGAGAAATATAAAGCGGTAGTTTGATAAAAATCAAACAAAATTGATTCATTTCAATTAAAGTCTGTTCACATTTCCTTCAGATGTTAAATATGCCTCTTTTCTTTCTCTATAAAGGACATTGTTGGAGGCCGTTTTGACGCCACCCAGGCCTTTGTGGGCGAGCTAAGCCAGTTCAACATGTGGGACCGAGTGCTGCGGCCAGTGGACATCATGGGTCTGGCCAATTGCTCAGCTTACATGCCTGGAAACGTGGTTCCTTGGATTGATGCTAATGTGGAAGTTTTTGGCGGTGCGACTAAAGCTGCTCTGGAGATCTGTGAAGATCGTGCTTTTGATTCCTAAAGGATCTATTGTAAGGAATCCAGTACGAGTAATTGGGATTGAGAAGCTAAGTATTCTGACTGTTTGTTGCTTTTGTCAACTCCCAAAGGAAAGAGCATCAGTACATTTTTACATATTTATATGATCTCACTGCATAGTCTCAAAGACTCACATGTTGATGTGTACATTCAATTTGCACCCTGGAGACAGTACAGGAGATGTCAAATTGGTCTGCTCATCTGAAGAAGATGCTGTATGCTGTTGCATCAGTCTACCATAATGATGTCACCTACTGTTATTCTGTTTTGTTCTCTTCAGTAGCTTTCATTTGACTCCCCTTTGAAAACAATTCTTTTTGGTTGCATTCCTTATACCGACAATATGCGCTATATTTGTAGTGAGTGTGCGCTCACACAGGTTTTGATGTGCTGTGGAACACCATTCCCGAGTTACATGGTAGAGTACTACATGCTGTGAGCTTCCTTGCTGTTTGAAGAGCAATGAGGCGCTGAACAAGAAGTGCAGTGAAATGAGGTGGATGCTCTAGAGTTCAAAGTGGGCAAGAACAACCCTCTCTATTGATTATCTTGCAGCAACCCAACAATACAGATTGTCTATTATGCATGACCCCAAGCAGCGATTGGAAGCCAGTGCAGAAGTGACAGTGCATGCCTTCTGTCAATACACAGAGCGTGTGCTGCGTCCAAACAAGCCAATGCAGTGTGTTGACGACATTATGTAAGTGTGTTCATGTGTGTATGGCTTCTCTTGTGTGCAAAAAAGACCAGAGATTATGAGGAAGGGAGTTCTTGTAAATCTATGATTAATGCCTCCATGACCCTCGAGCAGCTGCTGTGTCCCAAACAGCTTTGTGGAAGTGCTTGCTTTGCTCAGGTTAATAGCAATGTCGGATGGCTGCCCGCGACTGGCGTATCAACCAACCTGTGGACACCAGCCAAGCGGCCGTTGATGACAGGGACTGCGCTTGACCTTCAAGGACAATCCTTAAGTCTTCGGCTTGGTAGTAATCATCTGTGCTTATGAATGAGTGTGGCAGTGAGCAGCCACTGGTCTGTTGGTGTTTCATTAAGCTAAGTGTATTGTAATTAATAAAATATTGATATATAGTGGGGGTGTCAGCATCACTCTCTGGACATTATGAATGTTTCAATCAGATGGAATTTGGTCTTAGATGTCTCTCACTGAACAAGATGAACAGTTTTGCATATGATATATTTTTCAAAAAATTTATTTATTCACCACTCAGTGAGTAAAAAAGCTGTTTTTTGCAGTTTAATTTATGTCTGTCCTTAATGTTACAGTGGACATTTGTTTCAACACTGTTTAAACAGTAAAATATTGAAAACAAAGCCTGGTGCTGAAAGAGATTTGGTATCACCTCCAGAGTTTCTATTTTACCTCTCTGTGGACTTTCCATATTGAGGAGACACTAGTATAAAAAGCTTCTATTCACATTTGAAAAATGCTACAATGCAGTAGATACCTGGACAGAATGTTATAAAAGTGAAGGTGTACATTCAACTTTATATGGACTTGTTGAACATGTCACCATCCTGCTGTGACTGTTGCTCCTTTGAATGTCGTTAATGTTTCAATGTAAAAGTTTATTTTCGTGTACAAAGTGTATTTTTCTTGCTTTTTCTGTTCATGATTTTTGTCCATTAGTAGCACATTATGTAAAAATAGCAGCGTTACTAAAAATGCTTTGTCTAAATGGTAAACGGCCTTTTGTGAGAACCATACGTGTTCTTGCTTGTGAACAAACTTGTTGTCAGCTTTTACAACGCTAACAGCTCACGAGCAGCACAGACAGCGAGGGACACGAGAAAAAGAATTGTGTTTGCTATTGTTGTTTTAAAGTCTTCTTTATGTGCAGTACCCGTTCAAATGTTGCACCTTTGAGCCGTGTGGCTGAATGTCCATCTGCAACCAATAAAAGAATGAACAAGTTCTACAAGTGTGAGAATTAAAGCAGTAACTCAGTGATGTGACTGAACAGCTGAACAGCTGTTTGAACAGTCGAAACCTGTTTTATTAAAATATCACTGCACAGCATTAGTGATGAAGTCAGAGTGGAGCGTATCCCTGCCAAGGTCATGTGCCCTGCTTTCCTGATGTTTCTTAATATGGAAGCCCCACTTTAATTTTTGATGGAGATTAATAAAAATCAATATTTTACTGTGACATTTTTGGCCACATCAATTCTAAAGGAGCTGAAGGCGTCTGTCTAGTTGGTAGTCATATCATTTGTAGGAGTAGTCGTAATACACATGAAAGGATATGTCCTCTCATCTGGGCAATGTAATGTTGTCAACAGCAGAGAAATCCTCTGAACTGGCAGTGACCCAGGTGGCAATGAAAAAATCTGGCCATGTGGATTATGGGAGATGCTACTATGTAGGACACTGTGAGCCTTCTTCATTCTCCTCGACACTGTGTGTCGATGCTACTGCAAATGAGGGGCCAGGGGTTGCATGAGGGGGCCCCGATTGTTTTATTTTAACAACAATCTGAGGCCTCTAATAGACAACCAACAATGTTAAGTATGGGGACCTTTTTAAACATATTTTGATTCATTGCATTGCTACTGTACCACTGCAATTCGAATGTTTTTGAATTAATTATTCCAGAAAAAAATTCCAATTTGCATTTATTTAGTTGGTGTAAAACACACACTGTAGAATGCCAATGAGTAATGTGTGGTTCCTCAGCTAATCTTGTTATGCTTGGGTGTAAGAGGATGGTAATATATGTAGACATGCAGAGAATTCCTGATACTCATTTTTGCTATGAGATGACTCTGTAGAATTCTTTCTTCTTCCATAAATGCTGCTGTTAAGTTGGAACAAGGTGTGGAACCATGAGTGCAGCCTCTGCTGGAGTCTCCAAAACAATTCAGTCAGTGCTGAAGAGCAAGCAAACACTTATGACAAACTGGTTGCTGCTGTCACATCATACTGTACCTCCTGCTTTCTCCTTCATATTTGGTGAATACTGTGTATAAGACAAATTATCTGTGAGAAGGTGTTGCAGGGCGCTAATAAAATCTGTGGGGAATTGAAGTGAAAAGCATCATCTTTGAGTTTCACAAATATCATCTGTCTCGCTGACAGTTCTATGATTCAACATGGTAAAGAATGTGTGTGTTTGTGTGCGACCGAAGGCAACACTTTGCTGGTGTATTGGGTCTGAAGAGTAGATTTGTTCCAGTTATTAAGTTTTTCTCCCACTGCGGCGAAGCTCGAAAGTTAGCAAACCAGTAAATTTCTGGAGGGTGTTTGAAGAAATTATCTCGGCAGCTACTGCAGATGTAATGATAACAGTATATCACTACAAACAAATTACCTTTTCAGTGGTGCTGCCAACTTGTCTGTTTATTCATTACACATGACTGAATAGAATAGCAGTGAATAATTATTTGGTACACTTATATTAGCTTTCTTTCACATCCATATGCTCTTCTCTCAGTCCTCTGACTCATCTGGTTTTCCCAACATTGCCCAAGGTTGTGTTAAAATGTGCGATAAGCCCATAATTAAAATCAAATTACACTGAGTGTATTTGATTGCCACTGGATAGTTTGCAGAGTGTTGGAGGAGCTGAGTGTGGGGACTGGGGTCGAATTAAAGTCCTATTTTGCTCTTAGCACCCTCTCTCTTGCTCATGGATTCCCCATAGAGCCCCAAAGTACAAGCTTTGTAAAGACTGAGAATAACAAGTTTCACTGCCTAGATTAGAGAAGTCTGGTGGCTTAGTAATTAAAGCCTAATAGAAGAGCAGCCCGTGCAGAGACAAGGATCTCTGAGGCATTTGGAAAGTCCTGTTTTCCTGGATGTCACAGACTATCATTGAAACCCACAAACCCCCCTTTCACCCTGTATCACTCTCTTTTAAAAATTGTGCATAAAAAATGCTATACACTGTTCACATATGTGATTTTGTCTGGGAGCCCTTCTCTAAATGAATCACCATAAGTGTTACTCATTCATTTTAGAGAAAGAGACAGTTTAACATTAGAGAAAAGGTTAAACATCTCTCCCTTTTTGCACCAGTTTACTTATTTATGCCCCGTCAGCCCAGTAGGTGAGAGAAACGCCGATGGTGTTTTGGAGGAAAGAGAATAAAAAGAGTGAGGACAGAGATGACACGAGGGAGGGATGAACAAATTAATCAGCAGAGAGGAAACAGCCGCTGTATGACAGTGTGTAATGCCACCTCTCCAAAGATCAAAGCAGCCATAGATGCTAGATGAGGATGTCCATTCATCTTCATTTTGTTAAGCAGCACACGGTATTTTTAAGCGTAGTAGAAAATCATAAATCTGACTCTTGTTCATTCTCACATTACAAAGCTCCATATCCAGTCTGTTCTAAATGTCTTGTTTAATCTCACACTTTGTTCTCTGATTCTGAGGATGAAATATTGTATTCCTACAGAGACCATTTACATTTATAACAATATCCTGGATTTCTGCAGAAGAAACTATAAAACTAAATCTGGAAGATGGGTTGTAATATGTAATTTTATGGCTGAAAAGACAAGAGCTTCAATCTCTTAAAATCCTACGTTCTAGCAACCTGTGTGGACTGCAAATTTTAAAGCAGCCTTTGTTTGGCTGTCTTGCGACAAATAGTAAAGTGCTGCAGCTACAAATCTTTGTGCTTCACTAAAGGGTCTCTATTATTTCTCCAAACACCTATGTTCCCCTGCTTCACCTAAAGACATTGGCTGTAAATTGACCTATGTCTATTTGTCTTTTCTTGCCTTTAACAACATTTACTAGGAAATGTAGTGTGTGAAACTTTCACCGTCAAGATTAGCAAAATTCCTTAAAGCTACATCATGTAATGTTTTCAAATATTTTTGTTGTAGAATTCTGCTCTAAAACTTGTCTTAATGTGGCGAGGTGCTGTCGACACCTCCTGTGACCCAGACTCACTGAACAGCGCTGGCAGCAGTGCAGAGATATTAGTTTCTAAAAGGTTTTGTGCAGGATTGACCTCTCAAACTAATCAGAGATTTTCAATTATTTCTGCAGTTTTGTTGAATTCTCGTTTACTGTAATTTCATAAGAAATGCCCGAAGAGCTGGGCAGAGTGTAGTAGATCATAGTAGAGCACAGTGGAGCAGGGAGAGGGAGCGCTGTGCGGAGCAGAGTGGATTGATTTGAAGTTTAATGTAGCTTTATTTAATGTGTTTTGGAAGAAAACTGAGCTGTTTCAATTTCCATGAATGAAGTTATTTGTCTGTGGGGGAAATGCACTTAACACTGTGCAACACTGTACTAAACTAAATCTTTTAACAGAATTCTACATTTTGAGAAATTTGCAAAGCTAGGTTAGCTTAGCTTAGCACAAAGACTGGAAACAGGGGGAAACAGCTAGCCTGGCTCTGTCCAAAGGCTGGTTCTGTTCAAAAGTATAAGAATCAGCCTACTATACCTCTAAAACTAACTAATTACACATTGCATTATAATTAGGTTGCTTTAGAGGTGCTGGTAGGCTGAGTTTTATACTTTTGAACAGAGCCAAACTAGATGTTTCCCTGTTTCTTAAAAAATTTAAATATGCCCAAAGTGTTAAACTATTCCTCTAAGCAACACACAAACTATGCAGTAAGTTACATGAACAGATTCCTAAAGTGTTTCTCGATGCTTGTGCCATGAACAGAAAAAAAAAGCAATGAGAATCAGTGGTTTCTTAATTGTTATGATGGAAATATGAGGAAGAAGAAGATGTGGATTGAGTTGACCAGGTCCGAAAATAAAACACACCTCATTTCCAGCTCAGTCACAAGTGTGATAAACAAATCAGTGCTTTTCCCCTGGAGATTAAACACAGTTAGTCATCACTTTATTATCTGATGTTGATTCATGAACAGACTCCCAAAGTCACCTAGTAATAAACTAGATGTGATTCTTCGTGATCCTTTTATCTCGGTGGAATCTAATCAGATGTTGGTGGCTTGCTTTCCCCCACAGGGACCATGGATAAGTGTATTATCTAGATCATTCCACCGCTGCTAACAAAATCACCACCAACCAACATTTCCAACACACCCTCCCTTTCAACCAACTCACAGAGCATGTGTGCACAAATGCACATGCTCCCTGCTGGTGTTATTAAGCCATGCTCTCTACTCACAATAGCAGATCATGTGACTTTTATCAGGAAAGGGATCGGGGGCATAGAACTATTTGTGTGTGTGTATATAAATCCATACTATTTATAGAGTGTCTGCTTTCTGTCTATGAATATGAACTGTCTGTTCCCACTGGCTAAACATAAGCCCATCCTGCTTTGGATCAAGCTACACACTACGGTTTATTACTCTACAGGCAGTCTAGACAGACAAAAGGCTATGGGGGACATGACAGATGGAGGAAGGAAGCATGTTTCAGTGACTGGTTAGAAAAAAATCAGTTGAGCTTGATGCCTGAGCTGTTGACACCGAGGGAGAGGATGGGATCAACAAAGTAACCCAAAGCATAAAAAATAAAGACCTGTGTGTCTGAGAGTAGTGTGAAAGGAATGGTTATGACATGGCAGCCTTGCTGCCAAGGTCAGTATCACTGTGTTATCTGTATGCTCTGCAGATTCGAAGTGGCTGAGAAGAGGCTGGGTAAAGTTGCAGCAGGTACACAATCTTCATGTATACAGATGAAAAATGAACAGTTTCTTGTGTAAACCTGTACCGTATGTGTGCATGCTGTTTAATCACAGCACACATCGTTACTGTTTGAATGAAATGGATTAGTCAGTGATTTGTGTGGCTGGGAATTTGTATTTGTTCAAACAAACTTTGAGCCGTGCACAGATGTACACATAATGAGAGTTTTCTGCAAACAAGCATGCATCACTAAATAACAAGTCCATGCATCACATATAACAAGTCCATGAGGCAATGGAATGAATCAAAGTAGAAGAATTGCACAATTTGATTATGTTTTAGCCTTGTTTCTTGTTATGCAATTCATTTCTTGATTAAAATGCATCATTAGTATCAGACAACACCATTAAATAATCAAGCAGTTATATATCCTGTAAGGAAGACAGTGAAATGCATATGCATGGCTGGGGGAGATTTAGTGGCAGGAGCCTGACACAGGCTTGGTTCATGCCAAGGAGCCCATTATTCACCTGAGTTACTTTGGCTATGATTGATAGCAACAAGTGTTTAGACTGATTGTGCCAAAGGCTTACAAGAGTTTCAAGGCTGTTCACATTAACAGTAATCAGTTTTGCATAACTGATACATTTTATATAATTAAAGCCATTCTTTTTCCCAGCAATCACATTTTCAACTGAGTTGGACATGAATATGGACGTGGCTTCTGGAGTCCAGAAGTTTGTGCAAAAACTTTAGTGGTGTGCATGTGTTTCTCTGACACAGCTGGAATGAGAGTTAAAAACCCTAATCCTGTGTTTTTAGGAGCAGCATGACATTTTGGTAAATACACTTTTTTACTTTAATGAGAGATGGATGAGAAGAATGAAACTATTCCCATGGATTATGAAGGCTACAGCCAGCAGCCAATTAGCTTAGCTTTGCACAAAGGGTGGAAACAGTGTGAAATAGCCAGTGCTGTAATACTCAAGTTCAGGACTCAGACTCAAGCAATGACTGCATTCAGACTGAAGTTAAGTAGGAGGACTAGGTCTTTTCTTTTTGTTTTTCTAACACGCTATAATAATTTATCATAAGATACTTGCACTATGCTGTATTCGTGGTATCCATTTCCACTAAGTGTACACTCCACCTTTCTGTAAATGATTTTTGCAATATGGTGATGAACTACACAAGAGGTTCCATTAACCAAATATTTTCTGTAATTGATTGATTTTTTTAAAACAGTGAGGACTCGAAACTTGCCTTGGACTCAAACACTGGGGACTTGAGACTCGACTCGGACTCAAACACTGAGGACCTGACTACAACACTGGAAACAACTGTACAGAGTTAACAAAATCCACCAACAAACAACTTTAAAATTCATTAATTAACATGATATATCATGTTTGTTTATTCTAAAACAAAATAT